CCACATTTTTAACAGATCTTTTGAACATTGGGGTGTAAATACTTAAATACTAATTATTTTGAAAATAGGTTGCAACCTCAAATCTGTCTTAAAAATGGGGTGAAAACAAAATGTCTTACAAAAAATAAAATGCACATTTCTCCCCTGTTTTGCAAAGATTTGTCATGCTCTTCTTCACATTGCACTTGCATCTTTGTACTATATTTCACCTGAAGTAGTTGATGAAAAAATGTGAAAATAAATATGCCTCACTATTGTATTTTCCAGTCCTCTATGCTTTGGAGAAGGATTGTGACGGAGTTGTCAAAAGAATATCCCGATGTTGAACTTTCACATATGTATGTGGACAATGCTGCAATGCAGCTCGTTCGCAATCCAAAACAGGTGGGTTTATCAGTTTACTTTTTTTACTCTTCACAAAACTCTATTGCAGATCTAAGTTGACCTTTTCTATGAGATAGAAATGTAGAATGATACTAGTATACTACATACACGTAGTATTATATAGACAAAATGGTAATAATTGCAAGTACTCTATTGCAGTTTGATACAATTGTAACAAACAATATATTTGGCGATATTTTATCTGATGAAGCTTCAATGATTACTGGAAGCATTGGGATGCTTCCATCTGCCAGTGTTGGAGAATCGGTATGACTATCTTTTTCTGCATTTCCCTTTACAAGTGTAGGCTTTCTATTATTATTATTATTTTTATCGTTATTATTATTATTTTTAATATTATTATTAGAGGAATCGGGAGTGATGCTTCTTCTTGGGTTGGATGAGAGTGTGGGTTTGTAGAGAGCAAAGTGGAGGGCGAATATTTGTATGGAGGATTGATCTACTTTCTCCCTTTTCTCTCTCTTTTTCTTTTATCTTCTTTATCTTTCTTATGTTATTTATCCTTTTATCCTATCTTTTATATATGTATTCTTTTATCCTTTTTATGTTGTCATATTTATCTTTATCTTATCCTTTTACCTTAACTTATCTTTTTATCTCTCCTTTATTTTTGGATCCGATATCATGTACCGATTCGTGTTAGCCGACCTCAAAATCTTTTGGGACTAAGGCTTGGATGTTATATTATTATTGTTGTTGTTGTTGTTGTTGTCGTCTTGTAATCGTCAATTTATCATTAATGTGGCTTTTATTTTTATTCTTATAATTTTAATTATTATGTGTACTTGAGCATCTCTTGTGGAATGTTTGACTGTAGGGACCTGGATTATTTGAACCAATACACGGGTCTGCTCCTGATATTGCTGGACAGGTTGGTTTTCTGGTTTCGTGACTAGTTGTTAGGTATAATACTGCCTACACGTCACTATGAAAATGAGTTGCCTCATCTTTATTGGCTTTCAACATGCAGGATAAAGCAAATCCTTTAGCAACAGTGCTTAGCGCTGCTATGCTTCTCAAGTATGGTTTAGGAGAGGAGAAGGCTGCTCAGAGGATCGAGGCAGCCGTTTTAGACACTCTAAATCAAGGATTCCGCACTAGTGATATATATGCTGCGGGAGATGAGGTATGTATTTCTTTTATTGTTCTTTTAATAATAAAAGATGTCTAGCTATGCCTATGTTGATCAATATATGTCCGCACACCTTTTTTCCTTCTTTCAATATCGTGATTCCATATTCCAACTTCTTTTGAACAAAATGAAGTCTCACTGTTTGATGAATCAAAGCCTGCAATGTCCAAATTATTTGTATTAAGGACCTGTTTGTGTAGACTAAAGTTTTCTGATATGATCTAGTCTTGATTGAAATGAGTCCAACTGCAGTCTTCATAAATCTCAGCGGTAGTTATTTACATATAATATAGATATAAATTAGTCATTGTGCCCTGTTACTCTTGATGACTGACTGATGTTATTTTAGGAAACATTAGTAATGCATGACTATTTGACTCTAGGCAGCTATATTTTGCATATGACATTCATGATTGAGGTGAGTCTTTGTTGCAGAAATTAGTGGGATGCAGGGAAATGGGAGAAGAAGTGCTCAAGTCAATTGGAAAAGTTCCTGTACCGCTCAGCTGATGAAGAGAGCTTTTCCCTTTTGGGTAGGGTGTTAGGCTGATATAGAAGATCTTTTTGTAATTTTATAATAATCTCCCGAGTCCAGCAAGTGTTCTTTTTTCCGCCTTGGATCTCAGGCTGTATAATAGGACCCTTGTGCATCACGAGTATGTACTAAGCTTGAAATTTTATGTGATGATTATAAAGAAGCGTATTCTTGTGAATGCATCTATTCTTGTGTATGCATATATAATGCAGATGTGATCATATGAAACAGCAAGTGGCAATTTTTGGGTCGCGGACTTTGGGAAGACACCTTAAGCTCATACTTGTTTATGTGAAACCTGCTAGGCTGTTATCTATATGACTATATGCAAGCAATTTTAAAGAGTGAAATACAACCCACACATCAATAATAGGGGCACCATGTCCTCCGAGTGTGACATTGCTGACTATGCGACTATGCGAGTATTGAGTTTTTGAATTATATACATGCATCGATTGGCTTTAGCTGAAACACCCACAAGAGTTACATGCATAGATCGGGTCAGGGGTGGACCCGTTCCGGGCCTTGAATCGGCCGGGCCTCGGTTCAAGGTAGGGGAGGCCCGGAACCGGCCCGGGTAACCCCGGGTCCGGTTTGGGCCGGGCCGGGCTGAGCCCGGTTCGGTTCTATATACTAGTAATTTTTTTTTGGGTTTTCCTAATCAACCCCTACCCTCCCCCTCAACCCCAAACCCCCCCAAACCACCTCAAATGGCCCAAAATACTCAATCCAACCCAAAAACTTAAAAAAAATTCAAAAAAAAAAAATATATCTGGCCCGGACCGGGCCCGAACCGGCCGGGCTGGTTCACCAAAATGAAGGCCCGAGCCCGGAACCGGTAGCCACCGGGCCGGGTTGACCCGAACCGCCCATGGGCCGGTTCAAATAGTGACCGGGCCGGTTCGGGCCGCCCGGCCCGAGTCCAACCCTAGATTAGATGATCATCAAGATGCTAGAGATGAATAAAAGAGATGGTCGAAGAGATGATTTATAAATTGATTTGATTTCATTTTATATATTATACTTATACAGTTATACTTATACGAAGGGGAGTTTAGACAATTTATAAATTGATTTGGTTCAAATTACATTTGAAAATACATGTACTTACATTGGAATTTGCATAAAGTTAGATTTGATCATTTAAGAAATTACATCTTCTTGTGTCCGAGTTACATCTTTTTAAGCGTGAGTTACATCATTTTATGCGCAAGTTACATCATTTTATAAGCGAGTTATATCAGTATAAGTTACATTTTGCATACATGTAAGTTACATTTTCTATCAACACAAATTACATTTAGCCTAACACGAGTTACATCATAGATTACCTCTGCTACTGAAACAACAATTTTTTTTTCAAATAATCTTTATGTCTTTGATATTAAAAACAAAAATATTCACTCTTTATGTAAAGTAATGAGCAATTAGACTCTTTTTTTTAATTGTTAACGTTGAAATCAATGTTTTTATTTCTTATACTATGTATTTGACAAGTTACATTTCGACTGGACTTGAGTTGCATCGATCAATAACATGAGTTACATTAATTTACACGCGAGTTACATCGTTCATATTACTGAAAAAAACAGTTACTGTTCACGCGTTACTGTTCACGCGAATTTTTTTAAAAAAATTGTGCAAAACTACGTCGTTTTGGGTGTGGGAGCCCGGTGCTCACCGCGGGGTGATACCACGGTATACGAACTGTTGCTAAAGCAGGGCTCGTTTTGTGGGACCCCATACGTCTTTGGGTATGAATGTATTGAGAGTATTGAATTTGAGTCTCTTTTGAATTATATAAATGCATAAATTGGTCCAAGGGAAAGTGGGAAACACACATGTGGATTGAGGGGTCCGGTACAACGTCTTTGAGTAGTATTGAATTTAAGACCTTTTTTAAAATTTTAAAATGTAAACATGCATAGACTGGTAACACTGGTTTTTAGGTCTTTAGGCGAATCACGCATTGGGGAGTTAAACACGTCATGTACATATATGTAGTCAATGTTGTCATTGTTGTTTTGACTTGAAGGTCGAGCTCATGTTCTAAAAAGGGAATAAGTTGTTGAATCCGTTTCTTGAAATAATCTAGCTCTTCACCAGTACCATTCAGGTTTTGGTCTCAAAAGATTTTAGGAGCTAACATGAATTGATAGTCAATAAAGACATTGGAATAAGATATAAAAAGGATTAAAATCCAATTTTTGGGGTTAGTTAACGCCACCTGATACAAGGCATTGGAGCCAGAGAGAAAAGAAAGATAAAAAGATACGAGTACGATATTAGGCCATTGTTAGGATTGGTGACGGACAATTTCAATTTGGATCTTGAGATGTGCGGCAATTTGTCCTTGTACAAACACTGGTCACTGGTAGTGATGGACCCGGGCCCGACCCGTCGGGCTTTTGGGGTTTAATGTGTAGGCCCGGAACCGGCCCGGGGATCCACCGGGTCCGGTGCGGGTCGGGCCTGGTTATAATTTTTTTGCTTTCCTAACTACCCCCACCCCCCCAAACACCCCGCCCAACCCGGGGGGAACCAAAAAAAATTGAAAAAAAAAAAAAATTGGCTTGAAGCGGGCTCGGCTGGGCCGGGTCACCTTTTCTTCAGCCCGATCCTGCCCCGCTAAACACTACTGTCTAGGTCAAAAGACCGGTTTGGGACCCGAAGCACCGGGCCGGGCCCACACAGTAGCGGGCCGGGGCCGGGTGGCCCGAACCGGGTCCATCACTAGTCACTGGTGGTGCATAGTTTCATAGCACAGCGTGTGGTGGCAGTGGTTAAGGTTACATTCCACGGTGGTTGTTAATAATCTATTCTTATGGGACATATTTGTAATTCTTGTAAACTACTATTAGTATAAATACAAGGTCAAGGCTCCCCTTAGGGCAAGGCTCCCCTTACAAAAGTATCTTGTATAATTGTCGTGTGATAGTTAGAGCATCTCCAGTCCAAAGCTGTTGACATTAAAAATTATGGCTACGTCATCCGCTACAGACATCGGTGTAAAAAACTAGTTTCCAATGCAGCAAGTAAACTGTCTTGTAATGCTGACCTGTCAAAAAAAAAAATTGACACTGTTTACATCACTGTCTTGGTATAACACTGCCGTTCACATGCTGAGTCAGCCATTTTGGGCAGATAGAAATTATCCCGCCGATTAAAAACACTACCCGCGAATAAAAAGTTCTCTCTCCCACCTCCCAAATAAACTCTCCCACCCTCCCACTCCCACCTCATTTCTTTTCTCCTCAAAGTGAAGCTTCGTACGTAGATGGAGGAATGTTCAAGGCGGCACAGCTCTCTGCAACGGATCTGATTTGTGGTAAGTACATAGATTTTTTTCATTTTCACAAATTTTCCACTTTAAATTTACCTCTTCTTCTATTAAATAGATTTGAAGCTACGTCTAGATATGGAGGTGATGTGTGCTCATATATTGGGGAATTGTTTCAGATTTATTTTATGTTAAGAAATATGATGTGCTTTTAAATATAATTTTAAGTGTGTTTTCATCTTCGTTCTATCAGTAGTGGAACGATTTTGGCCTTAGGGCACTTGAGTTTTAAAAATCATTAGATGAATTTGGTGAGTAGGTTCTGCTTGGTCAAATTGGGAGAAATTGGTATGCTTTGGCTTTCAATGTGGGTTTCAATTTTAGGATTCAGATAGCTTGATTCCTTTGTATTGTATTGCCATTTCGAAGTACATTCAGTTTCGTAATTGAACTAGAAGAAGTGTGTTAATTCTGTTCTAATACCCTTGGAGTAAGCTGCTGCGTCTTTAGCTTCAAAATGGAAGAATTCAAAAATTGACCTTGACAATTGTTTTCAATCTATCAATCAAATTGCAGATTATTGTTTTTACTTGTTAAATTTCTTTCCTGTATTATGATATCTAGGACGCAGCAGGGCTTACAAAAAGAGAGTTGATTTCTGATTTAAATTTTCTCTAAAAGGGGTGGTTTTAGTGTGTAAATAAAACCTCTATACCCTAGTCATATTTGGTCAGATTATTCTAATTATCCTACTGATAAGCAGAATATGTATGGCTATTATATCATGGCTACCAAATTGAGGCTGAAGTTACAAACTATTTTGCCTCAAATTTCAATTGGAAAAGTTAAAAGGAACTTAAAGTTGTGTTTGCAAAAGGCCAAAAGCTCTCTTATAAACAACTTTTCACTTTCTAAAATTTGTTGGTTTTTTAATGAATCGAGAAAGCACATTCTGAATTGACTTTCAAGATCCAATAGCCAAAATCCCTAGTCCTATGACATATACCTATTATTATTTGTATCCCTTTTTGTGAGTTTTTCATGGCTATACACAATTGTCCTATTACATATACTTGCTATTCTTTGCATGCTGAAATACAATAATTTCTTTAACAAAACCTAGAATTAAATGTGAACATAACTTTCATTTATTATCTACCTGGCTTATATTATGTAGGTAGGTAAAGAAATGGATTCACAAGACTCGGAGACCTTCTCATCTTCTCAGTATCAGTACAATTACATGATACCATCTCAACTCTCAAACCAATCACTTCACCCAACTCCACCAGTTCAACCTACTTACAACTTCAACCAAAGTAATGGAATGTATCCTTATTGTGTGGACCAATATGGATCTAAAATATCATTCCAAAGTCTCTTGAATTCTCCCATATTAAATCCTTCAGTGGCCAATGCTCAATTGGAGAGTTCAACAAAAAGATCAAGAAAGAAAGGTGATGACATCCAGATAATACCTCAACCTGCCAGTTCTAGAAAAGAATGGACTAAAGAGGAAGATGTAGCATTGACGAACGCGTGGTTACATGTATCAATGGATTCAGACATCGGAAACAATCAGAAAAGTACTTCTATGTGGGTGAGAATAGTAGAAGTCTTTAAAGAAAATATGGGAGCTAAATGCAATCCTCTTAGAAACAGCAACAGCTTGCAATTGCATTGGGGGAAAATACAAGCTGCAGTGAATAAGTTTGTTGGACATTATGAGCGACTAGATAGGCATCCACAGAGTGGCACGAACTTGGATGATTTGGTAAGTGATAATTTTTTAATGATGCTGTTTTATAGAACATTTTCTACTTACCATGTTATATGTTTGAGAAATGGTCTTAGTATTGAGTATTAGCTCCAAATATGCTATTAAAAATTTGTTTAAATTTTTTACTTAGATAAAAAAGGCAATGGGATCATATGAAGACATTCAAGGAAGCCCATTCAAATATCTCCACTGTTGGGAAATAATGATGAAAAATCCAAAATGGTACTCCGAACATGTGAAGCCAGCATCAACAATCATGTTATGTAAAATGATACATGTTTTCATAATCTTTCCTAAATCCTTTTGATTCCACATACGTGCTGGACCTTTGATAATATGCCACCGACTTTGCAATACTCCGAATGCTCGTTCTACATCTTTTCTTACAGACTCTTGATGCCTTGCAAATAATTTTTCTTTGAGAGAAGATGGATTTGAGATAGTTTGGATTAAAGTGGCATATTCCGGATAAATCCCATCTGATAAATAGTACCCCATATTGTAATGATGACCATTCACTACATAATTGCATAGTGGTGCTCTATCATTAACAAGGTCATCAAATAAGGGGGATCTGTCTAAAACATTGACATCATTATTTGTACCGGCCATTCCAAAAAATGCATGCCAAATCCACAAATTTTTAGAAGCTACAATTTCCAAAATAAGAGTTGGAACTCTTTTGAAACCATTAGTATGTGTCCCGTGCCAGGCTGTTGGACAATTTTTCCAATGCCAATGCATACAATCAATACTACCAAGCATACCTGGAAATCCACGGGCTTCCCCCTCCTTCAAAAGTCTTGCAACATCATCTTTGTCTGGTTTTCGTAAATATTGCTTTTCAAATATGTCAATTATTGCATCGCAGAATCGTTTCAAGCTCTCAATTGCCGTGCTCTCTCCAATTTGGACATACTCATCAAGAATATCCGCAGCACAACCATACGCTAACATACGTATTGAAGCTATGGTTTTTTGTAAAGGACTTAACCCAGGCTTTCCGACCGCATCAACCTTTTGTGTAAAATAATCATCATAGGCCTCAATTGCTCTCAAAATACGTTGGAATAATTCGATGTCCATCCGAAATCGTCGCCGAAATTTCTCAGGTGTATACTTTGATTTCGCACCATTGAAATAATCATTGACAATTAGATCATGGCGTTCTCTCCTATCACGATTTATATACCGTCTAACACTGGTTGAACCGCCATGAGGACCGTTGCTACATATTAACATAGGAGACAATATCAACGGAATGCGAACTGCACATGTCTCTACTACATCAATGTTCATTTCGGCATAAATATCATCGTCCCTCCTTAACTCATTCAACATTTGTGTAGACAATGTATGTGAATCATCGGTAGATGACGAGCTATTAGAATCCGAGTCATAATTAGGTGTTGTCATTTTTTCAAAATTAATCTGCATTCATAAAAGTAAATATTATTTTTTAAAATCATCAACAGACGCAATCAAAATCAAAATAAGAGACTGAGAAATTAAACAATTTTTTTTCAAAGAATTTAATAGAAATAAAAAATACTAGTTATAGTTTTTGATGCGAAATACTAGTAATAGTTATGGATGGAATACATAGAGATATAGGAAAGTCATTACCTCTGCGGAAAAACTTTTTCAAAAATCACAACTTGTTTGATCGATACACAAAGTTTTGTTGTTTTTGATGCGTCAAACAAATTTGATCTCAATTCTTTAAAGTGGCCGGACTGCCGGAGTATTTAAGTTCCATGAGTATTTTGATGCGCATGCTGGAAGTTTTTTGGGTATCAGGTGTATTTTGATTAAATATGAATTACGGAGTATTTCATTTGAGTTTCCATTTAATAATTTGAGTTTGAAAAAGTCCACATGTACAAAACAGTTAGGCACCAACGTGAAGCATTGCGGAGCATTTGGCTTCTCTTACGATCTGTTGCAACGTGGTTTTGACATTCACCTTACATGGCTTAAACATTCCACACATATATTGCCATGTGTCACAATTTTTTTAATGTTGACAGCCTCCCATTAAAGATGCTCTTAGGAACTTGGGATTACGTTCAAGTGTTTGCCGGTACTCGAGTTGAGCTTTATAAACTCATGTAATACTTGGAAACATATTTATTCTTGATATTTTGCCAATTTGGTCCTGACCAGAACAATATTTTGCTTCTCGTCAATTTTAGCACGATCCTGTATTTTTAAAAGAGTATTAGAGTAAATATTTTACTTCTAATTTTAATTTATATTTGATTAACGATTATGAATATCTTGCCAATTTTGATCTGATCACTTGTACGTTTAAAAGTCCACCTCATATGCTTAGAAATTGGCCAAACAAATCATCCGATATTCCGATCCGGATGGTCACAACTCACAAGTGGTAAAAAGTTCATATTCCTACATCAAAATTCAAAAGATAAAGTGAAAGTCAAAGACTAAAAATAAAAACAATCGTGTATCAAAATTAAGAAATGAGAGTCAAATACCGAAAATGAAAGTAAATAGAATAATCGTAGGACCGAATATGATTTTTTTCTCATTTTTATGTGTATTTTATATTTAATACTCCGTGTATAATAATTATAAATAAAATACGGAGTATACGGAGTAAGACACAGATAATGGCATAAATCATAAAACGGGAGAGAGTGTACAAATCACACGTGTCCATTTAGTTAATTGATTTGGTCAATTTATTGGAATATTTAAGATGATTTGTGGGAGACATACTTTGACGAAAAGTCAAGCTTCTAAATCAATGGATTTTTTACCCCAGTTGTTATACCGTATGACCGGTATACGGTGAGCACCGTATACCGGCATCATACTGTTTTAGGAATCTTTGGAAGCTCCGCATGAAACATGTATTAAAATAATAGTGGGTCTTATTATTTATTTATTTCTCTTATTGTTAAAAACTATAATAACTTTTTCATTTGTAATCTGGTTTTTATAAAATTTATACCAAAATTTTTTATTTTTCATGATCTTTCAAATGAGACCAATATTGCCTATGAAATTTTAATATATTATCGAACTATTATATTAACCTATGTCAAATACGTAATTTTACACGTAGAAATATGTAACTCACGTTCAGGCAGGCAGAATGCAACTCGTGTGTATAAATATGTAACTCTACATGTAAAAATATGTAACTTTACGTGTAAAAATATGTAACTCGCGTTCAGACAGGTCAAATACAACTCGTGTGTATAAATATGTAACTTGCGTGTATAAATATGTAACTTTACGTGCAAAAATATGTAACTTTACGTGTAAAAATATGTAACTCGCGTTCAGGCAGGCCAAATGCAACTCGTGTGTATAAATATGTAACTTTACGTATAAAAATATGTAACTCGCGTACATTAAGATGTAACTCGCGTACAATAAAATATAACTCGCGCAGAAGAAGATGTAACTTCATGATATATTATCAAATGTAACTTCAAAAATCAAAATAAACAAACTCAATGTCTTAAAAACCTCTAAAAATATATAAAAGTGATAAAAAAAGTTATAAAAAGTTTGTCCATATAAAAAATATAACAAAAAGTGTATGAATATAAAAAGTATATTAAAAAAAAGTATATGAATATAAAAATTAATACAAAAAATAGTGTATGAATATTAATTGCAATATACTTATTTTATTTAGATTAATAATTTTTTTGGTATGCATTGATAAAGAATAAAAAAAATAGAAAAGAATTATGAAATAAAATATACTTATTTATGTGGATTAATAAAATTTTGTAAAAATTATGTAAAGAAAAAATGTAAATTCAATTGTATTTTAATTAGTTAAAGATAAAGAAATAAAGAAAGAAAGCACTAACGGGATGAAAAAGAAAGAAAGCACTAACCGGAGGAAAAAGAAAGCTTCCGTAATGAGTTTAGAGAGGGGGGAAACGACACCGTGTTAGGACCGGCATACCATGCTCATGGTATGCCGGTTGCACGGTATAATTTGCGTTTTTACCCCACCACTAAAGAGATTTATGATAATTTGTTGACTAAAAAGTAAGTTCCTCTACTAAAGGATTGGGCTCTTTATATTTTTTGTAATTACTTTTATTTTATTTATTTAAATTATTTTAATTATAAACTCCGTCAGTCTCTTCTTGACTGTATTTCACAAAGATTTTTACCCTACATTTTATCGAGACAACTTAATTTTTGTTCAAAAATTTTGACCTTACATACTCTACATCCACTGATTCTCACATGTAGTTCATTGTGTGGCGAACAAAGAATTTTAGCGTGAGTGCAAGAATTGAGAGGAAGAACATTATAAAAATCCCTTTAAGAGCATCTGTTTTCTTCATTCAGTATACCAACTGTATAATAAGTGTATTGGTGAATGACTTAATTTAAATGCATGTTGTTCGTGTAGAAGCCTAAGCCGCTAAGCGTATTGTAATCGTCTAACAAATTCCCTCAAAGGTCAAACCTACGACAGATTATTACAGCTCTAACTTTTCTACTCTCCCTCCTAATTATTTGTGTACTTTCATTCAGCCAAATATATCACAAAAACTTTGGGTTGAAGATATATTAACCTCAAGGGTGTATTAAATTTAATAAAAGAAATAATTATGTAATACATATTTATGACTAAAATAAAGATTGTTTACAAAAATGTGATTAAAGAGTAGTAATGGAATCATAGTAACTTATGTTCATTTTAAAACTTAAGTTACCATGACACTATATTATAGTAATTATTAATCATATTTGTATAAGCAAGTTTTATTTTTGATAATATTTTTGAAAAAACTTCAATTGAAAAATACCAAAAGATAGTACGGAGTATATATCAACATTTAAGAAGGGGCAATACTGTAGCACTGTCCCAAATGGAGTTTTTTCCACTTTTAGTCCTCCGACTATTATGTCATTGACATTTTTGGTACTCGACTTTGATTTTTTCCACTTTTAGTCCTTGACTATTGCGCTAGAGACACTTCTGGTACCCGTCTTTGAAAATTTTCATATTTAGTCCTTCAACTTTCATAAAAGTGACACATTTGGTCCTTCAACTATTATAATAGTTACTTTTTTAGTCCTTCACTTATTGTGTCAAATTTATAATGGAAGGACTAAAAGTGTCAATTTGACAATACTCAGGGGACTAAATGTGAGAAACCTTGAAGTCAGGGACTAAAAGTGTCTCTAGCACAATAGTCAAGGACTAAAAATGGAACAATTAGAAGTCGAGTACCAAAAGTGTCATTGACATAATAGTCAAGGGACCAAAAATGGCAAAAACTCGTCCCAAATGCGTCCATACTCTAGCTTCTAAAGTAACACACACTACAAGAAAAGTGACATATCTTGACACACACTAAGTGTCAAGAAAAATACAAAAAGTGTCAAGATAAACCCCTTATGGGCTTTACCAACACACATACAATGTGTCACTAGGAACCGTGTTAGGAAAAACTTTTCTTGACACTCACATACATGTGTTGGCAAATCTCTTTACACTTTTGTTGACACATAAATGTGTCATGGATTTGATTTTCACCAAACAAATTTTGTGTGTCATGAAAGATCAAGGATGACACATAAGTGTCAAGAAAAAGTAAAAAGGCATAATATGTTTATTTTTAATTAATTATTCTATATTATGCTTATATTAGTAATAATAAATGTGGGATACTAAATACTACTTTCATACAGAAACTTGAATCTCACTTAAAAATACTTGAAAAGCTCCATTGATGTAAATTTTACAAAACAAGGAAAATTAAAAAAACTTACATCAAGAATTAAAGTTATTTCCAGAAACTAGACAATGCCTTCATACTCAAACTTACATCATAAAAGTAAATAAAGTCCAAAAAAAACTTAAAAGTTCGAGTCATGCAAATTGCAACTGCTCATAAAATCAAGTATATCCCTATCTCCAAATAGCTTCTTAAGATCAATGTCTTCCTATTGATGATGACTCATTTGTAGAAGATGGTTCATCAAGGACCTGAAAAGTTTAATCAGAGGAAGAAATTAATAAACAATCCTCTGGCGCAAATAAACAGGATCATAAATTTGTAGTAGTATTTTCTTATATAACTAGTTTAGAGATTTTTGGTTAAGATAATTAAAAACTCACAACTGCATATTATAAGTAAATAACCTAAGAAAATAATGGACAGAGCTAGAAATAAAAGAAAATATATTAGAAATTGATTAGAGCCATAAATGCAGATTTTCCCAACTTCTTCATAAGTTAAGAAATCAACAAATACTTACTAGTTGTGTAATGATGAGGCATTATGCATTTCCTCTTATATTCTTTGCAGAATATGTCTGAGATTGGTTTTCCTTATATAATCTCTCATTTCAAATGTCATGGATCCAGCTAGACCAATCAAGGATAGAGTTACATGTAACTACGCTTCATGGTAATTATAAAGAGTAAATAAAATTTTATGCACAAGAAATTAATAAGTTGAAATACGCCACTCAGAAAATTAGTCTCTTAACATATCACACACAATTGCACAAGAAGAAATAAAACATAACCATGATGTCAAATTCAAGCATAGTTCAGCAAAAAAACGAGCACAATTTGCAGTCTAATTTTATAAATCTAATTCACTAATTGTAAATATTACCTCATTATTCAAGTTGTTGAAAGTTGTGCTTAACTGGGCAGAAGTCTAGTTATGTTTGAAAGCACCTAACAGAATATCAAACTTTCTTGAAAGTGTGGAATTTGCTTGTAGGCCTTATATAGGCACTTGTGGTTGTTGAGAGGACGAAGCACATTTATCCTACATGATTGAAAAT